CTCGCGGCCCGCTGCGGCGGCCCCGGTTCCCGGCGGCCCTCGCGGCAGGTTCCGGCATCGGGACAGTTCGCGATGGCAGGGGCAGGTTCCGCCGCTGTGTCAGGCGCAGGGACCCCGGTGGCGGGGCCCACAGGCCGCGACCTCTTCGCCGAAGGGCTCCTGGAGTTCCTGCGGCCCGCTGTGCAGCAGCTCGACTCTCACGTCCACGCCGTCAGGTGCCCGAGGGGCAGGTTGGGCGGGGCCTCCTACACTGGCTTCTTAGGGGCGGGGCCCAGGGAGGGTTCTCGCGGGGACGAAGAGTAAATTAGGGAACTTGACTTGAGGGCCGGCGGGCTGCGGCCCGTGGGGGTTGCGTGGGGGCTGGCTTCTCATACCTGGGGGACACGTGGGGGAATTAGCTTCCCGCGCTGCGTAAACCGCCTGACCGCGTAGGCCTTGCACCTTTTGCAGAGAGAGCCAAGTAGAGCTCCGGGAACAGATTGACAACCTGGCCACAGGTGAGTGACCAGCCCCGCGTGCCCAGACTCCGACAGCTCGCTTTCAGGACCTTGCGTCTTGCCAGCTTCTGGGTTGGGTTTCTGTCACTCGCTTCCTTGATATCAGGGCTGCCAAAGTATTCCTTTCAGGGATAACTTAATTCTTTTTTTTTTTGAGGAGTCTCACTCTGTCACCCAGACTGGAGTGCAGTGTCACGCCCACAGCTACCGCAGCCTCGACCTGCTGGGCTCAGGCGACCCTTCTGCCTCAGACTTCCAAGTAACTGGCACTACAGGCACACGCCACCACCCCTGGCTAATATTTTGGTTTATTGTAGTGATGAGGTCTTACCAAGTTTCCCAGGCTGGTCTTGAACCCCTGGACTCAGTCCTCTTACCTCGGCCTCCCAAAGTGCTGGAATTACGGGCTTGAGCCACCGTGCCCGGCTGTGCCTTAAATCTTTAGTGGCTGTGGCCCATGTGGGTGCAAGACTGTCTTCCATCCCACTACCAGCCTACCTTGGCTGAGAACGAGAGATAAGCCATTGGATGTTAGTGGCACCTTACTTTCATCCCCAGAACTGTGCCGGATCAACGAGGATCAGAAGGTGGCCCTGGATCTCGACCCCTATGTCAAGAAGCTACTTAATGCCCGGCGACGCGTTGTCTTGGTCAATAATATTCTACAGAATGCTCAGGTAAAATAATTTTTCTATCATCAGCGATTCCTTTTGCTTATAAGTCCTCAACACAGAAAAACTATTTTAAGAAAACTCAGTGTTCTCATTCTCAGAACTGTTGCTGTCATTTACATTTTTTTTTTTGAGTTGGAGTCTCACTCTGTCACCCAGACTGAAGTGCAGTGGCCGCTCCCGGCCACCACAGCCTCGACCTGCTGGGCTCTGACAATCCTTCCACCTCAGCCTTCCGAGTAGCCGGAATTACAGGCATGCGCTACCATGCCCGGCTGATTTTTTGATTTATTGTAGAGATGAGGTCTCGCCAAGTTGCCCAGGCGGGTCTCGAACCCACGGACTTGGGCAATCCACTCACCTCAGCCTCCCAAAGGTGTGGGATTACAGGCTGAGCCAGCCACGGAGTCCGACCATTTACATTATTTATACTTTAGAAGACTGACTTTAAGGTGGACCAAGACTGACATTTTTCAGCAACCTAGTTGACTTAAACTTTAAAGCCTTTCACAAGTTATTATATTCCAAATTTTCCTTGTCTTGTAGGAGCGGCTGAGGCGGCTAAACCACAGTGTTGCCAAGGAAACAGCCCGCAGGAGAGCAATGCTGGATTCAGGAGTTTATCCCTCTGGTTCCCCAAGCAAATAACAGGACAGAAGATGAGCCCATGGTCTCAGAGTAGCACAAGTACTGGTCCCCAGCTGCCTGGTTTCAACAGACATGCAAAGATTCCAGGAGACAATCCCTGCACTTTTGAATATTAGAATGGCAGTCCTGTTATTTGAGGCACTTAGTCTTATCCATTTATGTAGGGGCCCCAAGAAAACTACACACAGCCAGACTGAGGTTCCAAAAGGACTTGCATTAATTATGGCTCTCGCTTCCTTCCACAAATAAGGTCTGTTTTTTGAAAAGCTACATACTTGAGGCCTGCCTTTTTCAGGCCTCATTAACCAGAGTGGGCTTCATTATGTGCCTGGTTATGTGGGCCTGGGCAGCATATCCTCTACCTGTGACCTCGTTTTTCTGTTTACACTGAGGACTTGGAGGAGAAGGCAGGCAAAGTCCAGGTGAAGGAACTCTGTCGACCTTTTTTTCTAATTGCACTGGCTTGAATACAGTAGCAGTGTTGCTAGAACCATTTAATTCAATAAATACTTTAACAGTATTCGAGTTTACTCTGGTACATGGAAAGGTTCCAGGAATCTGTGCTTTAATTCAAATACAGCTTCAAACTATGATCTTAGCGTTTATATTTAAAAGACTCAAGTATCATTTCCAATGAAGAGTATATAAAGCAAAAGGAAGCAAAAGTTGCCACATACTAAAACAAACAAAAAGACCAGGAGCCTACTAGCAAGTACTTTAATCATTTTTCTTAGGAAAAAAAATTGCCACACACAGTTCACAACATTTCAACAACAAAGTACTAGTTGAGAGAGGGGTTTTCAGAAGTTGGGGATTCTAGAATATTAAGAAATGTTGGTATCCTGCTTCATTATAGATGGGCGACATAGGCCATAAATGGGAGACATCTGGTTGCTAAGCCAATATCCAAACTCAGTGGAAGGACACTTTCTTCCATAGGGTTGATTTTCCTTCTTGCTGTCTTCCCTCTTCCATGGAAATGCCTGCCGTCATATCAAGCCCAGTAGCAGCTAGCTTAGGCTCCAGTCTTCATCCTCAGTAGGAAAGGGAGTGAAGGGAGGCTCACTCCTGAGTTTCCATGCTTTCCTCTTCCTCTCCCTGAGGTGGCTCTTCTGTATTCTCCTCCTCTTCCTCTCCTTCCTTTTTCTCTGGTGGCTTCTCATAAGCCTTTTCTGAAGGTGTCACTATCACTCCATCCCAGGTAGATATTTCAGAAGCAAGATCTGAAAGAAAGAAAAAGGAAGCCGGGCTCGGTGGCTCAGCCTGTAATCCCAGCACTTGGGAGGCTGAGGTGAGTGGATTGCCTGAGCCTGCGGGTTTGAGACCCGCCTGGGCAACTTGGCAAGACCTCATCTCTACAATAAATAAAAAAATTAGCCGGGCATGGTAGCGTGTGCCTGTAGTTCCAGCTACTTGGAAAGCTGAGGCGGAAGAGTCGCCGGAGCCCAGCGGGTCAAGGCTGTGGTGGCTGGGAGCGGCCACTGCACTCCAGTCTGGGCGACAGAGTGAAACTCCAACTCAAAAAAAAAAAAAAAAAAAAAGAAAGAAAGGAAAAGGTGATTTTAGACAAGATCCCAGCATACAAGATGACTTACACAGTGGAAATACAGGGGGTACCAAAAACACGTATGCACATGTTGTAAGACACGAGTAGTACGTATACAGTTCCTATGTAGACCAGAGTACAACGATAAACCCCTGACCCACACAAAGTGGTCACTCACAGCTGGCATCACCCTCCTGGCCAAGGATCTTCCTAAAGCCACCATGTGAAAGGATTCGGACCAAAGTCTGAGCTGTGTAGCAGACCATGTCCTGAAGGAGAGCAAAGTAAGGATGAGTTAGCATGGAGAATCAAAGTGAATCATCCTTGTGAAAATAAGAGACGGAGACAATTTTTAATCTCAGGACCAAAATCTTTGACAATCCCTAAATCTCTGATCCCTAAAGACCTCATTCCCTTTGCCTTCTGAGCAGGAGTATTTGACAGTGGGGTAGAATAGATAACTTCATAGTTGTGCCAATACCTGCTGTTCTAGGGTCATGACTGTGTGTACTCTGAAGTTGCCACTCTCACAAGGGTCAGTGATACCCACTGAACCTGGCAGAAAAAGTCCTGCAGCCAGAATCTGCAAGCAACGTCTGAAACACAGGAAGGCATTAAAAGAAGGCACCCACCAGCTTACAACCAACTCTAAACAAAAAGAAACATGCTGACGTGCTGTACCTGTATGCAACGTTTAGGGCCAAAGGCTGCCTGGTGGGGTTGTTCATCACAGCATAATGACCCTGGAAAATAATAAATAACCCTAGTAGGTGTCACTACAGTGGCAATTATGTTTTCAAATAAGTAAACTTTAAACCGGCATGAGGAAAGCTTTATTTTTTAATTTCTTTTTTTGAGTCAGTTTTTTTTTTTGAGTTGGAGTCTCGCTCTGTCATCCAGACTGGAGTGCAGTGGCTGCTCCTGGCCACCGCAGCCTCGACCTGCTGGGCTCCGGTGATCCTTCTGCCTCAGCCTTCCGAGTAGCCGGAATTACAGGCATGCGCTACCACGTCCGGCTGATTTTTTTAATTTATTATAGAGATGAGGTCTCGCTGCCCAGGCGGGTCTCGAACCCGCGGGCTCAGGCAATCCACTCACCTCAGCCTCCCAAAGCGCGGGATTACAGGCTGAGCCACCGAGCCCGGCTAACTTTGAATCTTTATTACGCTACTTATGTACCAATATTTAAGCTTCACCGAATTTCAGATTCTGGTAGGTTTTAGAGTAACTACTACTAAATCAGAATGACCAAGTAGAAGATGCCCTTCTTTACTTACAAGTAGGTCTAGGATCCAGGGTGTGAGGGGCTCAAAGCCAGGAAAACGAATCCTCAAGTCCTTTAACAGTCTGATGAGAACTTTAACTCTGAAAGAAAGAGTATCTCAAAAGATTAAAAGTAATTAAGCTCACACATATCCGCATCTAAGGTAGGGCTGAAGCTGATGATATTACTTCTAGAATTACATGTTCTCTGCTTTCTCTTTTTTTTTTTTTTTTTTGAGTTGGAGTCTCACTTGGTTGCCCAGACTGGAGTGCAGGAGCTGCTCCCGGTCACCGCAGCCTCGCCTGCTGGGCTCCAGCGATCCTTCCGCCTCAGCCTTCTAAGTAGCCAGAATTACAGGCATGCGCTACCACGCCTGGCTGGTTTTTGGATTTACTGTAGAGATGAGGTCTCGCTGCCCAGGCGGGTCTCGAACCCGTGGGCTCAGACAATCCACTCACCTCAGCCTCCCCAAGGCGTGGGATTACAGGCTGAGCCACCGAGCCCTGCTTGCTTTCTCTTAATCTTGTTTGCTTACTTAAGGTAAAAATCAAAATCCAGACAGAAGATCACAGTCAGAACAGTTTTGTCAGAGAAAGTATGGGGATATCCTGCTATTCACTGAAATTAGGTTATCTTAATCCAAATGCTCAGGGAGGGACTCACGTGGACTGAGAAGCATTTTCCTCAAACCAGCGGGCATGTCGGATAGCTGCTAAGGCACTCTGCAACACCTTGATATCCACTAGAAAATAACCAAGACAGACCAATATGAAACATGATTTTTTTTTTTTTTTGAGTTGGAGTCTCACTCTGTCGCCCAGACTGGAGTGCAGTGGCATGCTCCCGGTCACCGCAGCCTCTACCTGCTGGGCTCTGGCGATCCTTCTACCTCAGCCTTCCAAGTAGCCGGAAGTACAGGCGTGCACTACCATGCCCAGCTAATTTTTTGATTTATTGTAGAGATGAGGTCTCGTCAAGTTGCCCAGGCGGGTCTCGAACCTGCAGGCTCAGGCAATCCACTCACCTCAGCCTCCCAAAGGTGTGGGATTACAGGCTGAGCCACGGAGCCCAGCTGATCCTTTTTTTTTTTTTTTTTTTGAGTTGGAGTGGGCTCAGGCAGTCCTCTCATCTCCACCTCCCAAAGTGCTGGGATTATAGGCATGAGCCACTGTGCCTGAGCACAATTTTTTTTTTTTAGTTGGAATCTCACTGTCACCCAAGTTGGAGTGCAAGTGGCATGCTCACGGCCACCACAGCGTCAACATGCTGGGCTCAGGAGATTTTTCCACCTCAACCTTCCAAGTAGCTGGAACAAAAGGCACGAGCCACCATGCCCAGCATATTTTTTGATTTATTGTAGAGAAGAGATCTCACCATGTAGCCCAGGCTGGTCTCAAACCCATGGGCTAAGGCAATCCTCTTGCCTCTGCCTCCCAAAGTGCTGGGATTACAGGCATTAGCCACATACTTATTATTATTATCTTTTTAAAAAAATTTTTTTTTGAGTTGGAGTCTCAGTCGCCCAGACTGGAGTGCTGTGGCCGCTTCCGGCCACCACAGCCTCGCCGTCTGAGCTCCGGCAATCCTTCCGCCTCAGCCTTCCGAGTAGCCGGAATTACAGGCATGCGCTACCATGCCCGGCTGATTTTTTGATTTATTGTAGAGATGAGGTCTCGCTGCCCAGGCGGGTCTCGAACCCGCGGGCCCAGGCAATTCACTCATCTCAGCCTCCCAAAGTCACAGGATTACAGGCTGAGCCACCGAGCCCTGCTCACATACTTATTATTAAGTAAGAAATTCTGTCACACTGCTAGTCCAAAAGCTTGAAAAGAGGGCAAGAAAACTTACTAATTCTTTAAACCATCCTCGGATCAGCAAGTCATTTCTCCAAAATCACTACTCCCCAAACCAAATCTGGAAGCATGCAAGAACCATGGTTTTCTCCAAAAGCCTATCCCACTCCATAAGTATTTTCTCAGTCCCTTTTTAAGTCCTCCAGCTGCTTTCTGGTCTTCTTGTCTAAAAATTTCACTAGCAGGCTAGTAAAACTATTTGGAAATTACAGAAGGAGAAAGCAAAGCTCGGGGTTAACTTAGGTCCTTCAATTCCCAGAAAGCTTCACGAGGAATATCAGCAATACCATGCTTTGAATTTCCCCCAAATTTCTCAGCAATGGAAAAAAAAAGACTTACAATGAAGCTCTGGGTCCAGTTTTCGGAGATTGGGTGGCACTGTTGTAATAAGAATCTTCACTGTAGCATCAGAAGAACTGATTTCAAAGCCAGTTTCATTGGTCAGCATGGTCAAAACTGAAAGAACAGAATAATCAAAAGCTGTAACTCTCACATTTCCATTAGATGACCAAGGTTAAATAATCCAGGATAGGGGTGGGGGGAACAAGCGGGTTTTGTTTTTTTTTTGAGTTGGAGTCTCACTCTGTCACCCAGACTGAAGTGCAGTGGCATGATCCTGGCACCGCAGCTTCGACCTGCTGGGCTCAAGCGATCCTTCTGCCTCAGCCTTCCAAGCAGTCAGAACTACAGGCGTGCGCTACCACGCCCAGCTAATTTTTGATTTATTGCAGAGATGAGGTTTCACCAAATTGCCCAGGCAGGTCTTGAACCTGCGGGCTCAGGCAATCCACTCACCTCAGCCTTCCAAAGCGCTGGGATTACAGGCTGAACCACCAAGCCCGGCTTAGGTGGGTTTT